TGGTGATGTGCTGCTGGTGAGCAAAAGGAACACAGACCCTGACCTGTGGGGCTACAGACTTGCAGGAAGAAGAACATGGAACGTGGCCAGCAAGGACAGAAACCAAGATTTTCTTTTGCATGATGGTGGGAGTTCTTCAGCCACACTGATACAAGGGCCGGTGCAGCCCCGGAGACCTGTGCCAGGGGTAAGACAGCCGCTCTGGACTCTGGGCCTAGGCCTTTCAAAGCAATCAGGAGGAACTCAACACATCTATTCAGAGTGCTTCCTGACTATTCTGAGTAGGAAAGGAAGAGCAAACATGCAGATTCTCGGGTTTTGGCGTGTGACGGTTTGTTTTCACAGCAGGGCAAGAGGAAGTGCACATGCCTCCACCACCACTCAGGCCTTTTCATTACTCAGGAGAAAGCTTGCTTCCTTGGGCACCAAAGAGAGAAGTGAAAAGGCAGCTCTTCCTGTCATCTTCAGACTTTCCCTTCTATCCGTGTCCCTGGGGGAGCCAACGATGCAGCTGGTTCTCCCTTCACACCCCACATAAACGGGGAAAGAAGCCAAGAGGAAGGAAGCGGTCTGGGTGCTGTGTGAAGCTGAGGGGCACCTCACCCTCGGCCTTCAGGTCAGCAATGTGGATCTCGCCTAAGGCTGCAAGTGACAGGCTCAGTCAGGACTTGGAATCAGAAGGTCCCCCCCCCCCATCCCCAACAACAGTCCCTCGTGTGGCACCGGCCTCTCTGCCCCCATCAGCCAGAGTAGAAATGGTTCTGAAACATTAAACAGGCAAATCAGTTAGCAAATGGTGTACAAAACAGTCACCAGGAGTTGCAGAGTGAAAGTCATGTGGGCAAACATGGACAACAGACATGCAGCTTGGCCTGCAAAGTGTTTTAAAATTGGGAGAGTTTGAGGGGCACCTGGGTGGCTCAGTCGACTGAGCATTCGACTTCAGCTGAGGTCATGATCTCATGGTTTGTGAGCCCGAGCCCCACATCAGGCTCTGTGCTGACAGCTCAGAGCCTGGAGCCTGCTTCGGATTCTGTGTCTCCCTCTCTCTCTGACCCTCCCCACTTGTGCTCTGTCTCTGTCTCTCAAAAATAAATAAACATTAAAAAATTTTTTTTAATTGGGAGAGTTTGTAAATCTTGATATACATCTTCTCCAGAAATGTTGAAGGATCAAACAGTGGGTCTACATTCCCAAGGAAAATCTGAGACAGGCCACTCTACTTAGAAAGGGCATGCCCCCTCCCCAGTCACGTCCCAGGGGCCCTGGATGCAACAGCCTACCATCCATTTGCACCACCTGCCTGGCCACTGTGCAACACGAGTCTCTGAGCCCTGTCCTAAGTAAGCACTTCACGTTTTCTATCTCACACTACACTGAATGGAAAATCAAGTAGCATAAATCTCGAATAAGCAAACACTGAGGGGGTTGAGGTTTATATTTGTGCTTCTCTCACAACAGTTGCCAAGCCCTAACACAGAAGCAGCAGCTGAGGATACGGGGGGCAGAAGGGAAGGCGTGGGTACGGGAATAATGCAGTGCCTGTAGAATGAGCGGAAGCATGCCACAGGCCTAGCACAGCCCATCGTGGAGCACACTCTCACTCTCGTGACCGCAGTCTAACCACAGGGCAGGACGAAATCCTCAAATGCCTTCATCCCATGCACTACGGTTTTCAGTGTGCTTTGGCCAAATACTGAGACTACTTAGACACGCAAATCTGAACTTCAGACTCTGCATCCCATCTGTACAGCTGCTCCTCCCCTCCCTGCAAGAAAGTGGAAAGAACCAGATTTCCTTTTAGCAGTTCCAGAGAAAAAGAAATCAAGGGGGCTGAAGTTCAAGTTGCCTAAGCAGATGTGGGAAACCAGGATGTGCAATCCAGGGCCCAGGCCTGCCTAAATACAACTTCAGCAAAAGTAAACCTCAAGCTCTTTGCAACTACAGAGACTGGTCCCTTCTTATATTATCTTTCATGCTAAGTCCTAACACAAATTATGAAAACAAAAAAGGGGAAACACATTTTCAAGAAGTGAGACATGTTTTTGAATCCTAACCACACCACTTTATACAACTCCTTCTAATCAGAAAATTAGAGTTTCATCATCCTGGTTCTTCCAATATAATCCTAACCTACTAGTAATTATTGCTCTATTATCATTAACAGCAACATTTTTAACATATTTATAGAATGTTTCATGAATCTCGAAGTGCTCATGTCCCCTTAGAGGCAGACAAGGCGAATGCTCTATGCCAACTTAATATGTAAAGGCACTAAGGCACAAAGCCTACACGTACCTTGTTCAAGGTCACACAGCTGATCACAGTTAATACAACTCCACAGCTCATACATGAATTCCCGGAATATATAAAGTGACCCGGGTGTCAAGAAAATAATAGACCTTGGTGAAGAGTAAACAGATGAAACACTGTCATCTGCCTGCATATACACACATACCTTGAAACACACAAACAGATGCCAAAATAAAAATTAATTTAATTAAAATTTAAGGTCAAATAATTAATGTTAAATATGTAAATGTCAATATTTTAATGTTTAAAAATCATTCTAATGTTAAATTAACAGGATCTACCTAGTTCTTCTGATAGATTACTAAGAAAAGGTGACCAGTCTGAATTACAGGTTTAAAATGTAATTTGTGTATTACTCCTAAAAGAGTGTGATAACCACAAAGCAACCACTCACTCACAACACATCTTTCCATAGTTGATTCAACATTCAATGTAATTACTCCTAAATGGGCAACATTGTGACATTCCTTCCAATGAAGTATGTCACTGGAACGCACTAGACCCTCAACCCTGAGCACATGTCGCCCTCTAGTGGCAAGCACCTCTCAGCATCCTGGGTGGAGACATTGCTCACTGGAGACAACTGTGTTTTAGAGAGCTTACAGAGTGATTTTATTCAAAAATACAAAATGTAATTTCTGCCCTAGGTAAGAGATGTACCATGATCTCTTAAGAGTGCTAGTGAATAACTTTAGTCTCTGTGGATGAATGAGGCATGCGATTCTGAAGTTGGCCAGTTCATTCACTATAAAGTTGTAGAGTCAAGCTAACCACAAAACTCAAGGGGTTTGGGTACAGCTAAAATGCTCACAAGGGAACAATGCAGTCTTTACTCAACTCTCAGTGCAGAAAGCTTAGCAGTCCAAAAGGACACCCTGAATTTTAGGTATCCCTATTTTCCTTCCACGTATCTTAGTTTACGTATTGAAAACCTTAGTACTCTTGCAACCTTTTACCGAAGTCTTTATTACAAATAGACTTTAAGGGTTCCACTCCAAAAGAACACAGTAATACTCTAACCTGTGTCAATAAGCAGAGTATTATGCAGACTTTTATAATCCGTGTGCTCCACAGAAGCACCGAATGAAGCATTGCCACTGAGACTTCACAATGAATTAGAAAATTCACTCGGGGCGCCTGAGTGGCTCAGTCGCTTAAGCGACTGACTTAGGCTCAGGTCACGATCTCATGGTTTCTGAGTTTGAGCCCCGCATCGGGCTCTATGCTGTCAGCTCAGAGCCTGGAGCCTGCTTCGGATTCTGTGTTTCCTTCTTTTCTGCCCCTCCCCCACTTGTGCTCTATCTGCCTCTCAAAAATAAATGTAAAAAAAAAAAAAGAAAAGAAAAAGAACATATACTCAGTCTACCTCACTCAACATTCCAATATCCTACTTGGCAGCAGTGAACTTGAATCTTATCTTCAAGAAGCCAGGGGATGACACAAATTATTCCAGAAAGAGGAATAACCTAGAACAGGTTCACATCAGGTTCACATAAAGGTATATAAGGAAAGTCTGGGGGTTTTTGTTTCCATTGTCTAATCTCTCCTTTCCACATATGCATTCCCAAAAGCTAGTATGGAAATCAAAGATAATAGTAATCAGTTGACTAAGGTGTTCTTTGAAGGTAGGTACCATGTCTTAAAACTTACCTCTCTGTTCCTGGTGCCTAGCACAACCTGGACATACCATGGGTGCTCTCCATTGTAAAAATAAGACAAACTTCTTCATTCTCCCAAAATAAGGTTGAGGGGGGGAAAAAACTGGAAAACCTTTGTTTATAGACAGTTCAATAATGAAACAATCTACTCTAAGAAAGCCTAAAATAATAATTGTCTGTGATGACAAATTTTATGTGTGAATTCAGCTAGTCCATGGTACCCAGTTTTTTGGGTCAAAATTCAGTCTAGATGTTGCTGTGAAGTTATTCTTCTAAATGTGGACACCATTTAAATCAGTAAACTTAAAGTAACGCAGATTATTCTCCATAAGGTAGGTGGACCCCACCCAATTAGTTGAAGGCCTTACAAGAAAAGACAGGTCCCTGAGGAAGAAGGAATTCTGCTTCCAGACTGACTTCAGACTCAAGGCTGCAACATCAATTCTCCCTAGGGTCCCAAGCCTATTGGCCTGTCCGTTACGTTCCAGACACGTCTGCTCCCAGAATCCTATGAGCCAATTCCTTAAAATAAATACTTTTCACTTTTATATATATGTATGTAAATATATGTATGTACACACACACACACACACACACACACACAGTTTTTTTCTTTGTTAGCTCTGCTTGGAGAATCCTAATACGGGTTTTTTTTAAAAAATATGATCACAGTATCCATTCACTGCTCTAAATATTAAAATATATTACCCCAAAGTTAAAGTTAAACCATTATATAAAGTCCAATCACCAGATAAAGAATATTCTGCTAAAACTAAAATGATGGGGAGTGATGATAAAAGGGCCAAGACAAGTCTTTCCAGTAACTATACCTAAGTAAATAAGCCCAATGGACATTCTTTTTTAATAATTTGGGGGCATTTTAGTCCAACAATAAAATGATTTCAGGGTGTAGACCCCTTCATAAGTTATTACACTTCATAGAAAAGACTTCACCAGAATTTACTGAATGAAAAAAAAGAGAAAATATGCTGAGAAAATTTAAATGAAAAGAAGAAAAATATTAACTACCTCTTGGTTATCTTTGTTTTGGTTTGCCCAGAAAATCTTATGATAAAGCGTCTCCATTGAATTGCTGGAATCAGTTCGGTCAAAACAATGTCGATCCAACACTTCCAACGTGTGCAAAACCCGACTAATGGTCACCCCTAGATGTGGAAATTAAGCAAGCAGTTAAAGAGGTCAAACAAAGCCAAACAGCATAGTACAAAGCCATCATTATGTAGGGCAAAAGGAATTTCAAGAAAGTGTCATTCTCAGCATGTGAGAATTGCCAACAAAACCAAACCTGACATTCCAGACAGCGAGGAACTAAAGGGCACAGAAAGAGGAATGCCCTCAAAAGTCACTAGGTGCCTCTGTCAAAAAGCATCCTTATCCAATACGCTGACTGAGTTATAAGAATCAGAAACAGGGTATCAAGTCCCACATTCAAAAGTACTCCTTCTTCTCTTGGGTTCTGTACCTGCTGTTGACTCTTGGCACTTGTCAAAAGACCACCGAACTTCCACTGCACGGCCTCTTTGTTTTATCTGCTGTTCTACCTCATAAATCCTTGCCCGAACCTGAAAGATAATGGCTTCTAATTAACTTATGCCTGGAAAGCCACAGTGGCTGTCTAAATCACGTCAGGTTTTTCCACATGAGCAGAGCATCCTACAGGGAACTACAATCGTGACTGCACCGTAACAAATTTAGCCTGTTGTCCAAGAAGCGCATTTTAAAATTTACGAGGGGTGATTCAATGCCAGTTGTCAATAACAAACACTCACAAAAAATAAATGCTTGCTTTACAAGTAAAAATTTTTTAGGATATCCTCTATGGAAAGGTGAAAGCTCTCAAGTATCATTTTTGATCCATTCTTCTATGTATGAAAATAGCTAGGCATGTTTTATGAATTTAAGAACATTGCTTGGTGAAAAACAGGGATCTTACTCTCAACATTAGTCACAGTCCTGCGGTTTAAATTTCATAAGTCTCTGAACCAAATAACCCGTCACTAATAAAAACAGTTACTAAATATCACAGACTGCCATCTACGGGAATTGTGTCATGTATGAGAGCCACCATCACAATTACCGTCTGGGTGGCAGGACGCTTTGCAAGAGCTGCCCAGCAAGAGCTAAAGGAGGAAGGGAGCAATGTGATGAACTTCTGCGGTCCAGAGAGGCTAACTACTTCCCCCCACATCCCTCAGAGAGATGGGGAGCAGGGCTGGGAAGGGCAAGCATCCAAGCATCTGAGAGGCTAACACCCATGCGGCTCGCTGTGTCGTGATGCCTCTCAACGAAAACACCCATCCAACCACCGTAACAGAGAGTCTACCTGCTGATTGAAAGCTGTGTTCCCACCCGGCATGGGGAGACTGGAGGGGGCCACCTGCAGCAGATCCAGGGGCGAGCCTGGGTTCGCGCTCTTATTGTCGTTTGTGGAATAATTCCACACCAAGGCACTTGGGCAACAGAGAGTGACAGTCTGGAAATGAAGCAGGAAAATCCAGATATTTAAGAGGAACAAGTATAACAGCTTAACAATAAAAACGAGGCCTCATCATAACTATATTATAGTTTCCTACAAGTACCCATTCTCAACTTTTCAAGTCTTAAGACAAAACTAAAATAGAATTATTAATTTGAAATGGAGGTGGTACAGCTACTGAGAAATTAAGGAATATTATAATTCATAAGCTAACATTCCAGCACAGAGAACCTAGGAAACTTAATAAAAACACAGTAATTATCACTTAAAAATTGTCACTTAAAACAATTTTTTTCATGCAATTAGAAAAAGGAGAGATGGAATTAGAATGTGTAATTTCTAAAGTTATAAAATCTAAAAAGGAATTTGTTTTAATCTATGAAATAATCTCTGAGATAATGCAGTAAATAGCTTCATAAATGCTAGACAGACAGTAACCCTAGACCAGTGGGTGGCACATTTTCTATAAAAAGCCAGAGAGTAAATGCTTTAAGCTTTGCAGGTCACCTATAATTTGTCACATATTCTTTTTGTTTTAATAACTCATTGGAAATATAAAATATATTCTTAGCTCGTTGGCTGGCATTGGCCTACAGATTACAGCTTGCCTACCTCTACGTTACACCCTTGCAGACATTTTTTCTTCAACCAGCTTGCATGAAGCACCTTCTATGACCCCTCACTCACAAGCTACAACGATCCCATGAGGTAGGTAATGCTATTCCCCCCACTGTACCACAGAGGAATAGGAGCCACAGAGGAGAGTAATAACCAGCCAAGTTGATTTCAGCACACGTGTCTAGAACCTCTATGCTATCGTTCTGCCTTCTAAACATAGAGTTGATATTATGGCTCCAGTTTAAATAAGTCCTTGCTCCATATTGAACACTGCATCATCACAACCCTAACCATGTGTGGTCACCAAGTAGGAACTGTCACCATCCCCCTCACACACAGGAAACAGAGCCTAAAGGTTACATTAGAAACTGGAAGAGCAGAGGCTGAAATCAGGTCTGCGAGTATTCTAAAAAACAGGTTTCGGGCACCTGGGTGGCTCAGTCGGTTAAGCGCCCAACTTCGGCTCAGGTCATGATCTCACGACTCGTTGAGTTTCAGCCCAGCATTGGGCTCTATGCTGACAGTTTAGAGCCTGGAGCCTGCTTCAGATTCTGTGTCTCCGTCTCACTCTGCCTCTCCCCCACTTACTCTCTCTCTCTCTCTCTCTCTCTCTCTCAAAAATAAAAAATAAACATTACATAAAAAAAAAAGTCTTAACTATCATGTTGTGCCACTCAACAACTGTGAGCTTGTTAGAGAAGGGATGCAATGTTTCTTCTAAAATGCAAAACTGAGTATCACAAAAACTAGATTCTGAAGTCTAGGAGACATCTCTGTGGAAACCAGGTGGCAGATATGAAGAACGTCAAATCCCTGAGCCCCACTACTGCATCTGTCTCCACTGGTCCACATACCCGTCTCCTTCCTCCTGTGTGTGAGGAGGTCGGGGTTCTCATCTCCTGTCCATCATGGAGTTCTTCCCAGTGTTCTTAAAATCACCAATACCCAGGGCACTGATCTATCACACACCCCTCTTCTCCTGTTTGCACTCTCTACTAGTTTAATCTCAGCTGAGAAATATGTTCAAATCTGGGGCGCCTGGGTGGCTCAGTCCGTTGAGCGTCCGACTTCGGCTCAGGTCATGATCTCGTGGTCCGTGAGTTTGAAGTCCCGCGTCAGGCTCTGTACTGACAGCTCAGACCGTGGAGCCTGTTTCAGATTCTGTGTTTCCCTCTCTCTCTCTCTGCCCCTCCCCCACTCATGCTGTCTTTCTCTGTCAAAAATAAACAAACATTAAAAAAAATAAAAAAAAAAAAAAAGAAATATGTTCAAATCTGACCATCAAAAAAACAAAACCTTTTAAAAAATCTCCACTCACTTAGCAGCAATCTCTCTCCTTTCCTTCCACAGACAGGTCTCTCAAAAGAACAGGTAGCATTATTTCTCCTCATTTTCATCACTCCTCAACCCGCCTTACAATGGCTTCTCAACTGACCACCGTCTTATCAAAGACAATCCAGCCATCTTCTTACCAGACTTCCCCAATATGGGGGCACTGCCCACTACCATCTCCTTTTGGAAACTTCCTGCAGTAGCTAGAGAAGCAGCTCAGCATGGTGGGTAAGAGTGTGGACCCTGGATCCAGACTGCCTGGGTGTGAATTCCAGCTTTGCCACTTACTTGCTGTGTGACCTATGCCCCCATTTCATCATTCATGTTACAGCAGTAATATTGGTTCCAATCTCATAGGATGTTCTGAGAAGTGACTTAATACACATTACAATTTAGAGCGATGCTTAGAACACAATAAATGCTAGTAAGATTATAACAGAATCCTAACAATAGCATTCCTATTCTCGCTGTCCTTGTCTCTCTATAACAATAGTCTCTCCCCTTCCTTTTCTGTCCAGTCTGGCCACACTTTCACAGCCCCCTCCGTGGACTGCCCTTCAGCCGCCTCTTCACCACTCAGGCCACAGGTCACCACTCACTGCTAACTCTTCAGGTAATCTCACCCCCTCTTGGGGTTTGGGTCAGCCAAGTGTCCCTGAGGGATTCAAATCCACACATCTGGCTGGATGTCTGGCATCAACTTCAAAATGAGACATGTAAAAACTTCTGGAACAAAATTATTTAGAGATGCTAAAGGACAAATAATCCAAAACTGTCCAAAAGTGAACTTACCTAGACTCTCCCAAACTGACTTTTTTGGCCTTGTCTCTCCCTCTCTTTCCCCTCCCTTGCTAGTCCCACAAATCCTCCCTCTATTGTGGCCACAACAATCTAAATCAACGGCACAACTGACCATGGCACCTTCCTGCCTAAAACCCTCCAGTCTCATTCCAATCATAAGGCACCTAGGGGGTCTTATATGCCCACACCCCAACAGGCTTTACACTTGATGTTCCATTAATACCAACCTGCACACAAGATGACTGATCAACCCTCTGGCCCTTTTCTCATGCTGCTCCCTCTGCCAAGAATACTCTTAGCACCTTTTTTTTTAAAAAAAAAAAAAAAACTCTTATAATATGCAGTAGTCAGAACTGCTTCCTTCAGAAAGCCTCTCTGAATTCTGGGTTGAACTACAAGTTCCGCTTCTCAACTCCCTTAGTCCCCTGCGCATCCTTCCATTGGCCTTTGCCATAGTATATGGAAACTGTCCATTGACAAGCCTGTCTTCCCCACAAGACCATAAGCTCTACCTGAGTGGAGAACATGTCTTTAAGGCCAGGCCAAAGCCTCTTAGTAAAGAGCGGGACACCTTAAGAGCCCCAGAAATGGAACCTGAACACTAACTTGCGAGCTCCTCTAGGACGGGGCTGTATCTCATTCCTGACAGCATCGGCCCAGTGGCCTGCAAGCAACTGGATGTTCAAGGACCACACAAGCAGTGATACTTGGCCGAACAACAGAGCCTGACAAATTACCTGGATTTACAAGAAATAGAGAGGATGGCAACCAACTTAGGATGTAGACTGAGGAAGCTATAAAATGCTGCACTGAGAAACTGTCTTTCCAAAAGCAAAGTAATATAGCAGACTTATTCTGTGGGTTCCCTCAAGGATTTTATCATTGAGAGTGCTGCATGGTATAATAAAAGATAACTACAAGAACTTTCTTCTACACAGAAGCAACAAATCTTCACTCAGCTTGATCCAACATAGAAAAATAAAAACATGAAACTTCAATCTGCAAATTATTTGGATGAGGAAAAAACTGGAATGTGACGTGAAAGTTGAAGGGGCAATTCTTAACTCGATTATCTCCTACGCTGAATTTTAACATAAAACAGCAAGGGCCAGGGACTTACCTGCAACATACAACTAAGTCCATAAACCAGGGGGCCATGCTGTGCACAGGAGAGGAAGTCTGAGAAGGCCAGCTGCACGGGACTCATGACGGGGCCAGGGGGGCCAGGGCTGGGGGCCCCGATGCTTGAGTTGTTTGGTCCTATCATCATGTGGGGCGAGTGGGCAGCAAGAAGGCTGGGGCTATCGCTCAGCAGCAAGGCAAGACGCCGGGCACAAAAGTAGGCAAGACGACGAGACAGGTAAGCCGACTGAACAAACTCGTCCGAATACTGAGAAGCACAAGGACAACGGGCTTCAGTCACGTCTGATACTACTCGGTGAAACAACTATTTTAACAAAGACTTTTTTCATTAAGAGAAAGCGGGGGGCGGGGGGGGGACTTCACAAGTACTGTAGAAACCAGTGCTGTCCAATAGAAACAACACAAGCCATATATGTAATTTTAAGTTTTCCATTAAAAAAATAACAGGCAAGTGGCACCTGGGTGGCTCAGTCAGTTGAGTTTCCAACTTCAGCTCAGGTCATGATCTCACAGTCTGTGAGCTCGAGCCCCACATCAAGCTCTATGCTGTCAGTTCAGAGCCTGCAGCCTTCTTCTGATTCTGTCTCCCTCTCTCTCTGCCCCTCCCCCACTCACACTCTGTCTCTCAAAATATGAATAAACGTTAAAAAAAATTTTTTTAATAAATAAATAACAGGCAAAATTAAATAAGTAACGTATTTTATTTAGCCTATCATACCCAAAACACTATCATTTCAACAGGGAATCAACACAAAAAGATTTCATGAGACATTATACACTCTTTTCTGAACTAAATGTGAAATCTGGTGTGCGTTTACACTAAGAGCACATATCAAATTGCACTTGTCGTAGCTCGAGGGCTCGAAAGCTACCTGGGGCTAGTGGCTACTCTAATGGACAGCATGGGCACAGACCATCACAGGGAGGATACACAGGACACCCGCACAGTGCAGTCTCCAGGAGGGTACGAGGGAGAGGAAGAGAATTACTTTTCACTAGATACTCTTTCATATTGCTTAAATGACCAAATGCATGTATTAACTTTCCAGGAAAACTTTATGTTTTCTAAGTAAATCGTAACCAAATAACCTAAATTTTTAACAGATCTTAAAGCAGTCATTAAAACAGGAAGTTCCCACCCCCAGTGGCTCAAAGAATGTCAAATGAATATAAAAGATCCTCTAATGCTTAAAAAGAGATGATTTTGTTTTGTTTTCACAGACATCTGTGCTAATGGGGAGATAGTATGTAAAGAGCTGTCTGCTTAGCTCACCGACGGGCGGCATTAGCGCAGGTGAGAATACTTTAGAAGGACACGTGGTTAAAAACTATGAACGTGGCTGATACATGTGGAGTAGCATCAAGCCATTTTTCCCTTCTATCCCAAAGATAATGTTCTTCCTCTTCCACCTCTACATACTTAATCATCCTAATCAGACTCCTTTCTTGCCCATAAAATCAGCTGGCTCGTGGTCACATGTACTATACCTGCAGCATGAGTGGTAACAAGAGTTTAAGAAGGTCATCATCCATCGGTCTGATCTTCTCTAACACATCCAAGATCCATGTCAAATATTCATGTTTTTCTAGCATTCCTTCCTTCAATGAAAGAGAAAGTCACACTGACGACGTTAAAGCAAGACCAATTCACATTCAAAAAGGAGCACTGTAACTCTTTTGCTGAAGTGTAATTTTACTACTGTTATTTGTGTTGTATGGTCTCCTTGACCACACCCCAAATTCTAAACGAAACAAAGTGCCAGTGTGATTCTGTATAATCGGTTTGGGGTGGGTTTTTTGGTTTTCTTTTTTTCTTGGTAATCTGCTTCATTCTAAATTGAAAACAATTAGGGGCGCCTGGGTGGCGCAGTTGGTTAAGCGTCCGACTTCAGCCAGGTCACGATCTCGCGGTCCGTGAGTTCGAGCCCCGCGTCGGGCTCTGGGCTGATGGCTTGGAGCCTGGAGCCTGTTTCCGATTCTGTGTCTCCCTCTCTCTTTGCCCCTCCCCCGGTCATGCTCTGTCTCTCTCTGTCCCAAAAATAAATAAAAAACGTTGAAAAAAAAAATTAAAAAAAATAAATAAATAAAAATCAATCCCCAAAGTAGTTTTTTAAAAAAAAACAAAATAAAAAATAAATAAATAAATAAATAAATAAATAAATTGAAAACAATTAATTCCTATGAGAAAGGAAATTCAGAAGCTTTCAGACTCTGAGGACATGTCAAGCATGTGTCCAGATTTCCAGGGAGTATGAACTTATGTCACAGGAGGAAACTTGTCCAGTGGTGATAATTATACAGAACAAAAGCCCCCATCACACTATCATCTCAGCAAGCATTTGAAAATCCCATTAGGTCTAATGCCCTCCCAATAATCCCTGCCTCTATCCTAAAATGAATTTCAGATACTATAACCTATGCATGAAATATAACCTTAAAAAATCAAATTAATGGCCTAATTAACTATTAACAAATGAAAAAAATTATAATAAAATAATGTATAAATGTTCCAACATAACTACACTAAAAATAACAACACACCTCAGATTTCCAAAATGTTCCAGAGGTGGTCTAGCCCCTCTTGCACCGTTAACATTTTCATTTACTACTTTCATATAAACACACACACATACGTACATATAAACCAACTATTCTTCTATGATATTCTATGTGTGTATGTATTTAATATCATGTTACAGTTTTGTATTATGACCTACATCATGAAAGAATCTTCAAAATAGAAACAAAAAGATACGCTTTCTGGGAAAGACACTTGTATCTTTAAGGTCATTCTGATAACCACCTTAGTAGTTAATATGAATGCCTACTCTACTCCTAGCAACTTTTTCTTACCTATTTATCACCAGTGGTCCACTATCATGGTTATCAGCGATTTGTGTGAAAATATACTGACAAATCATAGCTTCAGTATTTAAAAGATAACAATGACACTGGCATGACATCAAGATATCTACTGGTTGCTAATTTCTAATTTTTAAAATGCCTTAAATCCAAGAGTTAAATGGTTAGTCACAAAAAGTACAATTAAAAATTTTTTTTTTTATTTTTTTAAATTTTTTTTTTCAACATTTATTT